GGAGAGGGAGGAAGGGAGAGAGAGACAGAAACATCGATGTGAAGGGACACATCGAGTGGCTGCCACCCACACGACCAACCAGGGCCGGGGACAAACTGCAACCAAAGTACATGCCCTTAGCGGGAACCGAACCCGGGTCTCTCTGGACCACAGGCCGACGCTCTAACCGCTGAGCCAAACCGGCCAGGGCATCTGTTATTTTTTTTAAAAATGCAGTTAAATTTGGTTTATTTTCAGATTGTAGAAAGTGTTAAATCTCAGTACAATTATCCCGTAATAGTTGACTGGGTCTGATGTTCCTCTTCTCTCATAGTATCTTGTGCATTATTTCTAAGCTCTTTTCATTGGGTATTATCTGTTAATTTCAGTTGTCTGTAAGCTACTAAATGACAGGGGTGTGTTTTCTTATTTGTGTATTCTTTGTTATATCCTTCAGTTATTTTTTCATTTACCCACCATTTACTGAACATCAACATGTCAGGTAGTATATATATTAGGTATCGAAATTTTAGATAACACAGCAGTGGGCAGTTTGAAGATGAGGAAATAGTTCCACTCCAGTGTAATAAGTCTTATGATAGATGCATTTTATTTCAGGGTCTGAGATCGTTGTTTTTTTTTTTTGGTATGGTAGGTGAATAGAGATGATTTTTTTTAGTTAGTTATGAAAATATAGAAAAATGCTATTATTTTCAAAACAGTTACACATTATATGTAGTCATCTGTTTTTTGGATTATTCATGTAACTTCTCTTTTAGTAGATAATTGACATGAGTTCTATACCTTCCAACTTCAGTTGAAATGGGACATATAAAAATATATTAGAATTACTATACAGTTATCCCAAACACTAGGTATAGAAGTTTCAAAATTTTTACATTTTAACATTCTCAATGATTGAGTGGTCATTTGATATTTTCTTTTATAGCAGGAGAAATTTAGATTACTGTATAATGTAACTTGAGGTTTTTTTTTTTTTTTTTTTTACAAAACAGCTAAAATGCAGTGTATAATAATGTTGGCCTAACCATAATTACTTCCTGCCTTTGGAGTTCTATGAAAATGAAAATGTTCTGAGTATAACAGTTTTCTATTTATATTATGTGAAGTGTTCAGGTTATGAATGATTGGAATTGAGACTCAGATGCTGAGATCAGTACACAGGTCAATTGAATTAACTTTCCTCAGCAGTGATATAGTACAAATATTTTAAAAAATTTAACTATCTTTTAATAAATGGGTACTGATGGATTTTACAATTCAGATTTTGATGTTTTGAGGGTACTGTAACTAATAATACATTTTTCAACTCTTTGAGATATTTTAAGCTAAAGATGTTTCATGGTATATCTTCTTTGGTCATTTAGTCATCAAAAATACGAGCTATAAATAGAAACCCAGTAACATGTCCATTATATTTTCATTTAATTCACATTTGTTATTTATAACTTTACCATAGTTAAAAAAATTATTTTTGTTGCAGTATTTTCTGAGGAAAGGAGTATATTCTTAAATCTCATTATTTTAAATGAAAAGATGTCAATTTTTGTACTCTTGAACAGGATTTTACAGGTGTAACATAGTATTGGCTGTTGGCTTAATGATCAGGTTTAAATATAAGTATTAATCAGTGTTGAACTTATTCCTTGGGTTCACATTTAAACTGTGGCATGTTGAAATAATCTACGTCTCCATCTGCACATCTGAATTCATTTTGTAAAATATGGCAAACAGCTGCATTTCAATTGAAAGCTAAAACAACTGTAGGACATTAACCCATTGAGAAGATTACAGTAGGTTTTCAGTTCCATGTTAACTGTATTTATTAGAGAAAATTGACTTGAGTGCTTCTGCTTTTAACCGACATTTTTTTTTAAATGTCTGGGAGAAAGGAAATAAAGCACTGGAATGATAGGACTTTGATGTGTAAAGAAGTTAATGTCGAAAGAAGTTAATTATCTAAATCATCAAACAAAATGGATACGGGAAATAATTATTTTAGAGATTCTAATGAGCTATCAACTCATCATGTCAAGAAAAATCTTATTCACCTGTTTGATTTAAAAATTAAATAACCTGACTGTGAAAGGATGATCATGGTTATAATAAACTAGGATTGGGACCTTTTACCTCTTACCAATAAATACTCTTGATGTGAAACATTTGCAGTAGGAGGACAACCGAAGAAAGCTGTGGTTTTAATATGAATTTACTTTCTGAAATATCTCCTCTTTGGAGAGCGTTAAAGCCGGGTGACTGGATTTGCAAAATGAAAAAGGGGCAGATTGCTCTAAAAGTGTCTCAGGAGATTTGGCCACAGGATAATCCCACAGAATGGTGTGCCTTCAAATCCGACATGAGTGAATAAATCATAACTTTTTAGAGGCAGAGGTTAATACAGAATCTTTGAGTTGCATTTTCTCTAGGATATCATGTATCTCTGTCAGTCTTCTGTTGTGGGACAATAAGGGAAGCATTCCCTAAGGTCCTTGAGGTTTCTTTTTTAGCAGGACTGTTCCTGGAAGTTCTTGGTTTCCTGTCTCTTTTCCCCCAATCTTGGATTGGTGATGTGTTTTTTTTTGTTGTTTTTTTTTTAAGCTGACTTTCAAATGGTGAACCTTCTTTTCTATATTATTTGTAGAAAATCATGTATTCCAAAAGGCTTTGTGAAAAACATAGGACAACTTTAAGCTTACAAAAAGTGATGGTCTTTCATAGCATTAGCTTCTTTATGTGTTTTAGAATTTTGGTTTTCAGGCTCAATTTGAGTGAAACTTTCCCCCCTCTCTTTCTCTGCTCTTGCATTCTCTGTCTGGTGATTTTGGCCTGGCCCTTAGGGCCCTTGGACAAGGCCAGGGCTTATGTTGGCAGATAGCTGGTCCTGTCACAGAAGGATATTTGAGGTATTTCCCATCTAGCCACCCAGCTAGTGTGTTCTTGTGTTAGACCTCTCCTCTGTCCCGTTGCCTTCTCAAAAGTTTTATATATGGCCTAGTGGAGCAGTGGTTGGTAGTAGTTTTTTTGTTGTTGTTTTCAGCCGCCTGTAAGGAGGCCCAGCCCGCCCAGCCCTCCCATCCTAGGTCTTGGTGAATGGCCCTGGTTCAGGTTCCCTTTATCAATATTAGCCAACATTGCCTACAGGAGTGGTCAGATTAGAGGATGTATTAAGAGAGAGATTTGGCAGCAATGTGGAGAATGAACTGAGCTGGAAAGAGAGAAGCTATAAATAGAGCTCAGAGAGGGCTATAGGGTAGAAAAAGGGGGAGGATGTAAGACAACATAAAGTAGAATTTATTTGGCTTCCTATAGATTATAGAGTGCTGGAGAAGGAGTTAAGATAATGACTGAAATTTTTGAGATAGGGTGACCAGTAGCAGTAGTGATGTCAGTAGTGAAACAAAATTTATTTTATAAGGTAACCACTTATATTTGTTGAATTGCACTAAGGTCTTTCTCTGAAAATACTCAAGTTTCTTAAATTTTTTTGTGATTTAAAAAAAAAACCCTCACCCAAGGATATTTTTTCATTTATCTTCAGATAGAGTATGAGGGCTGAGAGAGAGAGAGAGAGAGAGAGAGAGAGAGAGAGAAATATCACTCAGTTGCCTCCTGCATGACCCTGACCAGTGCCCGGGAATGAACTGTAACTAAGGTACGTGCCCTTGGCCAGAATTGAACCCAAAACGCTTTGGTCCTTGGGCTGATGCTCTACCTGCTGAGCCAAACTGGCCAGGGCAAGTTTTTTGTGATTATAAAATGAGGGTACTCTAAATTTGTTATATAAAAGCTTTTAGCAAATCAAGAAAGAGAATTCTTAAGATCTTTCTATTTATATCAAAAGCTAACATTGTGTGCTTAGTACTGTTGTAAACATATTAGTTCTCTTAATCCTCACAACAACCCTAAGAGGGTGAAATTATCATTCCCATTTTACAGACAAGGAAACTGAAGCACAGAGAAGTTAAGTAATTTGCCCAAAGTATTAGTAAAGTAGCAGAGCTGGGATTCAAACCTGGGCTGGGCTGTGACTCTGGACTCCTCCTAATTAGTTTACTGTACTCAAAGGTCTTAGCACTGCTTTATCATTTGTTCTAAATTTAATTCTTCTTTAGAATCTGCAAAATATTTTTATTTTATAGAAAGTTCTAATATTGCAAGGTTTATATGACTATGGATTAATAGCTAACATTTTTTGAGCACTTACTGTGTAATGATTGAAGTTTTGTCTACTTTCATTATTTCAATGTTATTTTTACTAATCCTTGTTTATGGGACTACCACATGCATTAAATAAAATGGGACATATTAGGACTGGCATCTAGTTTTCCCATTATACATCAGCTTAATTTTACTGAGGAAAAAAGTCACACAATTTAAATTGATGAGTTACTTAACCATAAGATTATAAAGTATCACAGTACTTACTTCAGATCTACTGATTAACTTAATATTATTTGTATTAAGGCTTTGGTTCATATAGGGATTGGATTGTGCTGTGGTTTTCTAATTTTATATCTTACAGTTGTGCAACTTTTTCTTTGAATGAAATCTCACTTGGAACCTCAGTGTATATATTTAAAAAATCAGAGTTGTTTGAGTTGTCAGTTCTTGGATAGAACTGACGAGGTATATGCTTGGGGGTCACTGGGAGCTCCCTGAAATACTGCCAGTGAATCTTAGGGCTCCCTGGAACACATTTTGAAAACCACTGAGCTCCATTAAAATATTTTAATGAGTATTTTTCTTCTATTACTTATTACAAAATATGTACTGAAATGTTTTATCACTCAAGTGAGTAATTTTGATATCATACATGACTAAGCAGTCCCACCTTACCATTCATTTTAATAAACAGCATTAAGTATAAAGAAATAAAATTTACACACAAAAAATAAGAAATTTAAAGTTTTCTATACTTTTTGAAGTAATTTATAAATGCTTTTGTTTTCCTTGCATTTATTTATTATTAAATACATTTTGTGCTATTTCTCTTTTCTATTTAGATGAATAATACTGCAGCCAGCCCCATGTCTACTGCCACCTCAAGTAGTGGAAGAAGTACAGGGAAATCTACAAGCTTTGCCTCAGAACTGCAGAGTATGATGTAAGTGTATCTGTGCATCTTCCTTGTTACTATGTTAAGGTTATTCATGTTGATAAAGGACAATAGAAATAACAACATTTATAAAACTTAACTGGTTAGGAAATTTTTACTTAAGTGAAAATGAAATTGTCTGATAACATTTTAAATAGCCATACGCAGACAAAACGGGCAGCATGAGTGAAAAGTGCTACAGTGGTACTGTATTAGAAAAACAAGTATTGATTTGTCTTTATAAAACACTGAGCGATTATGTTAAACCTTTTTTCTCTAATTATTATCTTTTATGAATTGTTTATTACTATTAGATTTAGAAAATTTTGATATAGTTTATATTCTGGGATGAAGTGTTTTCACGGAGTTCTCAATTATTTTCAAATGGCACAATAATTCTATTAGCCTAATGTAATTTACTTTTTAGTTTTGATTTCAGAACATTGAGAAAAAACTTAGAACATTTAAAAAACACATTCCATTTTTTTGTTTTTGTTTTGTTTTTTATCCTCCCCTGAGGACACTTTTTGCATTTATCTTCAGATAGAGCAGGAGGGAGAGTAGGCGGAAGAGAGAGAGAGAGAGAGAGAGAGAGAGAGAGAGAGAGAGAATCATCGATGTGAGAGAGACACATCGAGTGGCTGCCACCCACACAACCCCAACCAGGGCTGGGGACAAACTGCAACTGAGGTATGTGCCCTTAGAGGGAACCGATCCCAGGACTCTCTGGTACGCGGGCTGACGCTCTAACTGCTGATCCAGACTGGCCAGGGCTCACATTTCATTTTTGAGAAGTTACACAGTCATTAAGATTTCTTTCCTAAAGCTCTTTTCAGCTTGATTTCTGGCTTCTTGTGTTGATGAGACTGCATATCTTGATTTAATGGGAGATAGTGTATTTATTAGAAATGTCTAATGGCACATAGTAGTTTTTCCTTATTATTGGTTCAGGAGACAATTATCTGCATAAGGGGACAACACGTTAGAGCTCTTCTTTTCCTATGGATGCAATATTCTGGACATATCCGTCAATTTTAAAAGAACGTTTCTTTTCAGGTTTAAGTGTCTTCCTCTTGTGGGTATGTATTGATAGCCTTTGTAGTGGATTGATACCACTGTGATATTTATTGTTCTAAAAAAAAATGTGTTTGAGCTTATATTTGTTTGGTGAACATACTATAAATAACACTGAAAACATGTAGATCACAGGTTCTCAAACTTTTTGGCTCAGGCTCCTTTTATACTCTTAATTATTAAAGACCTTGAACAGTGTTTGTTTATGTGGGTTGTACCTATTAATATTTATTGCCCAGAGTTTAAAACTAAGAAAAAAATTCATTTGAAAAAAATAAACCTCTTATGTGTTAACATAAATAATATATGCCCTATCAAATAATCATATTCTAAAACCAAAAATTGGAAACACATTTTGTTAGATGACATGAGAATAAAATAAATGTATTAATTTAGGAGTTGCATGAGGTGAGCATGTGTGTGTGTTTCAATTTATTGATTTTAGAGAGAGGAAGGGAGAGAGAGAGAAACATTGGTTTGTTGTTCCACTTATTCATGCATTTATTGGTTGTCTCTCGTATGTGCCCTGACCACGGATCGAACCCCAAACCTTGGTGTATTGGGATGATGCTCTAACCAACTGCGCTACCCACCCAGGTCCCTGTGTTTTAAATTAAGAAAACTTTAAGTGTTTATGCTTGTATACAGTTTTAGTATATACAGTTTATTAGTTTAAGTTTTTTCATTATAGTTTAGTAGCTGTATGTTAAGACTCTTTTATGTTGTGTTATGTTAATTATGTGTAAAAACACTACATGTATTTTAGAAGGTTTACAGTAAAGTGAGGAAATCCATTTTCCTGTAGAGCCAGTTCACTGATTACTTTGTATTTTCAAACATATTATAAATAATATATATTATAGAGAACAGTATAATGAACTTCATGTATCCATCATCTGGCTTTACCAATAACTATGTTTTGTTTTGCCAGTCTTATTTTACCTTCCCTCTACTTTTCACTTTTTTTAAATGTAATATTTTAAAGCAAATTCCAGCTGTCATATTTTAAATTTGGTGGTATTTATTAAAACAATATATTTGGCCTGGCTGGTGTGTCTCAATAGTTGAGCGTCAACCCATGCACCAAGAGGTTGCTGGTTTGATTCCCAGTCAGGGCACATGTCCAGATTGTGGGCCAAATCCCCAGTGGGAGGCATGCAGGAGGCGGCCAATCGATATTCTCTCTCATCGATGTTTTTCTCTCTCTGCCTTCCTTTCTCTCTATAATCAATAAAGAAAAAAATAAAGAAATTTTTAAAAAAATAAAACAATATATTTGTTGATAGGTAAAAAATTGCTCTACAGCAGTGGTCAGCAAACTGTGGCCATGGGCTCATAGATTGGCTGCCTGTTTTTGCAAATAAGGTTTTATTCATCTATCTATTATCTAGCTCTGCTTTCATGCTACATGACAGAGTTGAGTGTTTTTTAAAAAAAATATATTGTGATTAATTTTTAGAGAGGAAGGGAAAGAGAGAAAGAGGTGGAAACATTGATATGAGAGAGAACCATTGGTCGGCTGCCTCGAGCATACTGGGATTGGGCATGAGCCCTGACCAGGAATTGAGTCAGCGACCTCTTGATGCATGGGTTGATGCTCAGCCACGGAGCCACACTGGCTGGGACAGAGTTGAGTATTTGTGACAGAGACCACACGGCCTGTAAAGCTGAAAGTATTTATAATATGGCCCTTTACAGAAAAAGTTTAATGACCCCTAATCTATAGAAACAGCTGTCTATTAGAAGAAAGCTGTGTTTCCTTTTGTCATTTATACTTGAGAGGTTCTACTTAGTGCATTTGATAGACTGCAGGCCACTTAAGGAAACTGAGAAAAAATAAAAGCTAAATTCAGCACTTTCTTATTAAATACTTTTGCAAACATCTTCCCAACTAATGTGCTTAAGCTGGATTCAGAATGCAAAAGTTATTGTTGGCTACAACTTTGGAAGAAATATACATTTTCCTTCTATTTCAGACCTCATAGAGAGGCCTCTCCTAATAGTTACATTCATCATTTATAGTCTGAAGTTATTTTTTTCCCCTTATGAATTGCTTCATAGAGCAAAAAAAGTAGGGCTGAAATTGGGGAAATACTTTTTAATTTACCAATATTTTCAATTGGTATAAGGTTTTCAGGCTTTTGATTTATAAAATTAGAATCGCTATACATTTTTGATCCTTGCTTATGTGATTTCAAATGAGAAACTGTCGGCTTAAGTCTGTTTATTTTGTGTTGTAGGAATTTCATTCTGTGAATTCCTACTTTTTTTTGCTGCAGTTTCACAGTTCTTCTAAGTCTGTGTTGCATTGCTTTTTTTTCATCCTTGACTGCTACTGTCTTCCCCACCCATTCACCACTAATGACCTGTTTTTCTCTTGGGTCCTAGCCTTCTAAATAAGTAACAATCTTGTACTGTCACTTCTAGGGAATGGTTTCAGGTATGTAGTTGTCAAGCACAAATGAAATTGTCATGATCTGCTATTAAATATAGAACTGGCAGCCAGTCTGTTCTGCTATTAGAGCCTTAATAGTTTGGGTGGTAAATACTGCCAGTGAAGCATATTTTAGGAAGTGCTTCTACAAATTCTAAGTGAAAGGATTAGCAGTCAAACAAATGTTAGTGGCTTGGGGATGACAGCAGCTTTCCCTTACCTAGTGCTTACCACTGAGCACATTTGCTATATGCTACTTATCACAGCTCTTTGATAAGTATCCTGGAAGGGTCCAGAGGCTTTTCATTTTTAAGTTACTGAACTCAAGTAGCCTGTAAATTAAAAAGTGAAATTTTTTCAATTCACATTGCAGGTATTTTAACAAACTTCTTAAGAATTTTAATTAATGTAAATGTACCTCAAGAAGTCTTCATTGGACTCATTCTTCCTTATTTATGTATTTTTTGACTTGTATTACTCTTTTTTCAGGTTTATAGACCTCATGATGATTCCAGGGTTTCAGTGCTTGGTAACATTTAGTAATTCTCATGTGATGCAATGAAAAAAAGAAGTATTTCATTTACAAGTTACCTGTATTTTATAAGAATTCTTCCAAATGAAATTCTCATTCTCCCAAATGAGAATTTCATCCTTATTTAAAACCCACAGATTGAAAAATAACTTTAAAAAAATCAGAGTTTTCTTTATATATGACAAAATTTACTCTCTTAATTGTATAATTCTGCAAGTTTTGCATTTTTTAAAATCAGCATGTATCAAGCCTATATATGGCAGGCATGTCCATGAAGTATTCTATGAACACCTCAAACTTAGTATGTCCAAAATTGAACTAATACTTTCCTCAATAATATTTGCTTCTTCTCTTGGGAATTATTGGGATAAATAGCAACAACCATATATTTATTGTGTAGACTAGGGCATAGCTGTATATGAGAAATGGTATCGTTTGGCTTTTTAGCATTTTGAAGTTAGGATTTGTGTAAGAGTATGTTCCCAGTTCTATCCTTACCGCAATCTGACTTTAAAGAGATTTAATATGTAAATATATGAGATAGTAGCCCTGGCCGGGTAGTTCAGTTGATTGGAGCATTGTACCAATATGCAAAAGTCTCAGATTCAATTTCCAGTACACATACAAGAAGCAGCCAATGAATGCATAAATAAGTGGAACAACAAATTGATGTTTCTCTCTCTTTCTTCCTTCCACTCTCTCTAAAATCAATAAAAAATTTAAATATATAAGTTATTAAACTGACATAAGTTTCCTTCAAAATATTGATTTTCCATAGTATGTTTAAGTTTTCAGAAAACTGGATGAAAGAAAAATTCTTAATGGTAAAAAATGCTAACATTAATACATTATAATTTCAGAGATGCTTTAACAATACCATTGATAATAGTGAATGCTTGTATAGAGCATAATGTGTACCAGGCACTCACCGAGTATTTCCATATATGATTTCATTTAATCCTCATACAACCCTGTGACGTAGATGCTATTATTCCCCTTTAATGGATGAGAAAATCGAGGTACAAAAGGTTAATGATGCACCAACAATTGCTGTTATAGTAATTGGAAAAACCTGGATTTAATCCAGGAAGTCTAACTCCAGAGTCAGTGCTCTTGACAAATTATGCTAAGCTACATTTCAATCAATAAACTTTTTATTTTTATTTATACAATTTAGTGAACAAATGAACTTTTATCAGTTTATGTGTGACTAGTGTGCTATAATGGAGTAATAATATGAAAGCAAAATAATTGTTCAGTAATTACTACTCTTAGTACTGAGGTCTACTTTTTATAAGAAGTATTGGATTAAGTTGTTATTTTCATATTATCATAGCATTTATTTCAATTTCTTATACCTAATCACCAATCTTTAAGCAAGGCTATCTCAGTAACCATAAGAAAGTATAAGTTTTCATAGGAATTATGTACTCAATGTACTCCATATTGGTAGCTCATATTTGTAATATTTCATAATTTTGGATATAAACATGGCCACATTGTTGACTATTTAAATGTTTATATTTTATATTTTATCACTATTAAATATTTTATTTTAATTCCTGATATTTAAATTACATTAAAATATATGGATAAACTTTGTACTTTCTGTGAAATGCATCTATTTGGAATATTTTAAGACATACACCAGTTTATAAATATAACAAGAGAAGGAGGAAGATTTTCAAACTGTAATAATAAATTGGTCACAGTCTTTCCTGACAGAAAATGTGTGTAAGAGCTGATTGAGAACATAGAAGCACTGTGTAACTGAAAGTTGGTTATACTTTTTTTGCTTTCAGAAATGAAATAAGGAAATGTTTAAATTGCCAGATTCAACTGAATTAAGTGCCTGCATTGAAAATATGTGTCATTTTGTAAATGTGACAAAATATAGTTTTGAACTTATACTTACATATCTCTATCAGTGCTCTCATGAAAAGAAAATAACTAGGCCTTTTGTTTTAGGATTCTGTGCATATAATTCCCAGGGGAAAAAACAATTGCTGAATCTTAGAAGTGGTTTCTTGAAATTCAGGAAGATGGAGTCATTTTAGTAATTCTGTCATGAAAAATAGGTAAAATTCACAGATCTGTCATTCTAAAATTGCAGTGTAGTTGCAAATTATACACTGGAGGACGGGAATACCTGTTCTGAACTGGTATGATGGCCACACCAGGACCTAAGTGATATGCAGGTTGTCTTCACTTTAGTGTTAATATTCATTCATTCCGTTGTGTTGCAGAGTGTTTTCCTAGACCCTACTGAGGGTGTTATGTAGCTTATGGTTTATGTCCAGTATTAACTTTCTAAAATCTGAAAGCCTCTGAATTCTGAAATGACCTTTCAAATAAGGGATTGTGGACTTGCATTTCCCTCATAGGTTTATGTGAGGATGAAATGAGATACTGAATCATACTGTTGTTGACACATAGTAAACACTATCAATTATTATCTTAAAAAAAGTAATTAGCACCATCAACATAGTATTTAGGAAGTTTGTAAAGAATGTGTCAGGTGCAGGGAGAAATGTTTGCAGTTTTATGGGAAGAATTTTTATAATTTCCTATATAGAGAAAAATGTTTTGTCTACATTATAACATGCTGTCTAGCAGAACTTTCTGCATGTTGGAAATTTCTGTTTCTGTTTTCTACAGTATAATAGCCAGTAACCCCATGTACTTACTGTGTACATTAAATGAGACAGGCAACTGAACAACTGAATTTTAAATTTTAGTTTAATTAATTTAAACTTAGTAAATGGCTACCATATTGGACAACACAGAAGAAATATGGAAAATATAACTTGTGTAAGGGGTATTTCTTTTCTGGGTTTGCTTATGTTATAAGTGTGGGGCAAAAGTAGGTTTATAGTTGTTTGTGTAGAAAATAATACAATAATTAATAAATAATAATACAAGAATAAGCTTAGTGTAAACCTGTAAACAAAAGCAACTGTAAACCTACATTTGCTACTCTTGTATGTTTTTATTGAAATTGGGAAAAATACATTTTATATGTTGCGTGATTTTTAAAATTTTATATTTGATTTTAACACTGTCATAGATTTACGTTTTACTTTTTTTTTTTAGTTGTCATTGTCCGTAGTTCTTTAAAGATTTGGGGATGTTTATTTGTGGTTGCTTTGGCAGTTCAGATTTGATTGGGAAGTTTAATATTACATTCATGTTCTATTGTCCAGAAAGTCCGGATAATATCAAAGTGTGTTAATTTTTTAAAAACACTTGTGCATTTACATAGTATATTTATACTTAGTCTTTCTGAAATTCCTATGATTATACCTCTGAATGTATATAGCACTTGATTGTCATGCTAGCATCTGTAACTGAATTTGTAATATTGCAAGTTTTGGGTCCTCATTTTTATGCAACTAGATTTGCAGAATTTTTGGTAACTATAAAGTTAATATGTTACATGGCATTTTGTTAATACAGTGTTTTTATTTTTAATATACTGAGATTTTTGAAACCTTGTTATTTTTAAATATATACATTTAAAATTAATCTTTTACAATATTGGATAAAACCCTGGCTGGTTTGGCTCAGCGGTTGGAGCGTCGGCCTGCGGACCAGAGAGTCCCAGGTTCAGTTCCCGCTAGGCCCTAGTGGCTAGGGGCATGTACCAAAAAATAAAATAAAATGAAATAAAAAAAAATAAAATATTGGATAAAATTAGATTCTTCTATATTGAAAATATATAACAGTATTTAGTAAATATACTTTACTAAATATGGTCCCTCTATGTCGTCTCAAAGGGTAAGAGATCTCTCTTTCTTACAGCTGCATAGTACTCCAATGTGTATATGTACCACAGCTTTTTTATCCGCTTATCTACTGATGGACACTTGGGCTGTTTCCGGATCTTAGCTATTGTAAATAGTGCTGCTATGAACATGGGGGTACATATATTCTTTCTGATTGGTGTTTCAGGCTTCTTAGGGTATATTCCTAGAAGTGGAATCACTGGGTCAAATGGAAGTTCAATTTTTAATTTTTTGAGGTAACACCAAAAACACCATAGTGTTTTCCATAGTGGTTGCACCAGTCTGCATCCCCACCAGCAGTGTACTAGAGTCCCCTTTTCTCCACACCCTCGCCAACACTTGTTGTTTGATGATTTGATGATGACGGCCATTTTGATAGGTGTGAGGTGATACCTCATTGTTGTTTTAATTTGCATCTCTCTGATGATTAATGATGTTGAGCATTTCTTCATATGTCTCTTAGCCATTTGTCCTGTTAAGAGAGGTGTCTATTTAGTTCCTTTCCCCATTTTTAAATTGGGTTCTTTGTCTTCCTTTTGTTGAGCTGTATGAGCACTCTATATATATTGGAAATTAACCCCTTATCTGATATATTATTGGCATTTATGCTCTCCCATAGAGTGGGTTGCCTTTCCATTTTGGTGGTGGTTTCTTTTGCTGTGCAGAAGCTTTTGAGTTTGATGCAGTCCCATGTGTTCATTTTCTCCTTTGTTTCTGTTGCCTTAGGTGATGTATCAGTGAAAATTCTGCTGCGTATGATGTCTGAAATTTTGTTGCCTACATTTTCTTCTAGTATTTTTATGGATTCATGAGTCACATTTAATTCTTTTATTCATTTTGAGTTTATTCTTGTGTATGGTGTAAGTTGATGGTCTAGTTTCATTTTTTTGCATGTAGCTGTCCAATTTTCCCAACACCATTTATTAAAGAGGCTGTCTTTACTCCACTGTATGCTCTTGCCCCCTTTGTCAAATATTAATTGAGCATATTGCCTTGGGTCCATTTCTGGGTTCTCTATTCTGTTCCACTGATCTATCTGCCTGTTCTTGTGCCTTATCCTTTGACATGGAAGGACCTGGAGAGTATTATCCTAAGTGAAATAAACCAAGCAGAGAAAGACGAATATCACATGATTTCACTTATTTGTGGAATATAATGAACATAACAGTCTGAGGAATGGGGTAGTCCCAGAGATGTGGAAGTGAGGTTCAGACTGACATTCCCCAGAAGAGGGGATGGGGGGGAGAGATAAAGCACAGAACTTATATGCATGTATGCATGAACAATGGACATGGACAACAAAGCTGGGGACAGGGCGGGGAGGGTGAGAGAGGGGGGTATCAGTGGAGGGAAAAGGAGAAACATCTGTAACAAAACTAAATTAATTAAATTTAAAAACCAAAAAAGTATTTAGTAAATATGGGTAAAAAAATTAAAATTTCATATCTGATTATCTGTTGATTGCCTTCTTACAATAAATTCTGTTGATATAGAATGTAAACAACTAAAATTAAAAAGGTGTAATTTTATAGAGGAATCAGTAGGTTCTTAATCTTTAACTCTTTGTTGAATCTAAGGGTCCATGACTATTTTTAAATTTGCCAAGACACAGTTTTAATTTTCTCTACATGTTAGATTGATACGTAGTTTTGCATTACATTGAAAAAATGGGACTTGACTTATTCTATGATGTATATTAATATGTTAATATATATTAATATGTCTGTGTTTTTAACATACTGAAATATATCACAAAAACTATATATTGGTATGATTATGCCACCTTTGGCAAATATATATATATACATATATATGTATATATATATATTTTTTTTCTATGTGTACATGGACTTTTTTTTAATCTTAAGCAAAATTCCATAAACTTAAGAAAAAAATACTTATAGTCATTAGGTTTTCTGATTGACATAACATTTTTTCCAAGACAATAAATAGAGTTTACAAACCACTTTTCTAGGGAAAAGTAGTGAGAACTAGCCCTAAATCTCTTATCTTTGACTGACTGCTTTCTTCCTCCTTTACTTTTCATAGGTTTCTCTGTCTTGAAAGAATCATGTTAAGACCAGTTTTTGCCATGGCTGGTAGAGTGTTACTCGACTTCTGTGCTTTTCTCCCTATTACTGTATTACATGCGTTGGTAATGTGTGTTTAACAGGGATAACAATATACTACTATATGTTTCTACCGATTATGGGTTAAATTAAACTTTTTGGGCTGGCCCGGCCTGTGTGGCTCAGTGGATTGAGCATTGTCCCTTGGACTGAGAGGTCTTGGTTCGATTCCCAGTTGGAGCACATGCCTGGGTTTCCAGCTCAGTGCCCAGTAGGGGATGTGGAGGAGGCAGCCGATCGATGGCTCACTCTTATATCAGTGTTTCTATCTCTCTCTCTAAAAATCAATAAAAACATATTTTTTAAAAAAACCTTTTTGGGATGGCCTGGCAATCAATTAATATTATATCAATAGCAAAAATAATATTCTTCTTGTGTAGAGTTACTTCTAAACAGTCAAACTTGGATTACAACTATTTTATTTATTTTTATTTTATTTTATTTTATTTTTTGAGTACAACCATTTTAAAATAAGCCACTGATTGTATGTTTTATTCTGCCTCTTCCAACCTAGAATTTAGGTTTAACTTTGTCCTTTATTAATTTATTATTAGCAGTGTCCTCTAATTCTTTAGAAGGATGTGAACAAAGATGATGGTTGTTTTTAATATACAATAAAACTTTTCTTATCTAGAATTTGTAATTAAATATAAGTATTTTAAAGGGTAAATTAATATAAAAGACAAGAAAGCCACATATACATGAGTGAGGGATTAAAACAGCATGATACAGTGGAAAGGATCATAGATTTAAAGCTAGAAGACCTTGGTCATTTCTGTAGTGGTGGATTTGATATGTTTAGAACAAAATATTACTGCCTCCCCATGTAAAAAAATAACAAAAACCACACAGGGAAATGTTATGGGTAGGGGAATTGTTATATCAATACTTTGTTCAAAATGAAGTTTCTTTTATTTCCTTATATAGAAGCAGTTCATATTATTTTCTGAAAAGAAAAAATATAGAAGGATCATGAACACTTTAAACTCACTGAGTTAAAGAACTGTTAAATATTTTGGTATTTCTCTTTTCAGTTTCTTTCAAATGCACATAAAAATGCTAAAAGGCTGTATTTTAACTGCTGTTGTATAGCTTGGGTTTTTGCTTATTATATCATAAGCCCTTTTCAATTTTGATAAATATGTGGCATTATCTTTACAGCTGCAGTTGTTTGTATTTCATTATGTATTTAAGCAGTCTGGTTAAATATTAAATTGTTTCTAATTTTCCAGTGTTACATATATGATTGCAGTAAACTTCCTTTATATTTAGATACAGATCTGTCTCTCTCCTCTCCCCCTTTACTTTCCTTCCTCCTCTCCCTTCCCATCTTTAAGCATTAGGACTAATTCCTTTAAGGTTTTGATGACCTTCTATAAAGGCTTTAATGATTTATAATCACACCAACAGTATATGTATGCCTTGCCAATATTGAGTATTATGACATATATAATGTATATTATTTATACATAAATAAACATATATAGGGAGAAAGAGAAAGAAAAATATGTATTTTATTTAAAGTCTTTTTAGCATTTTGTAATTGAGTTTCTGTGTTTTTTTTTTAATCCTCACCTGAGGACACTTTGCATTCATAGAGCGAGAGGGAGAGAGGGAAGAAGAGAGAGAGAGAAACATTGATGTGAGAGAGGCACATCGAGTGGTCGCCACCCACGTAACCCCAACTGGGGCCAGGGACAAACTGCAACCAAGGTACGTGCCCTTAGCGGGAACCGAACCCAGGTCTCTCCAGACCGCGAGCCTACGCTCCAACCGCTGAGCCAAACCGGCCAGGGCTGAGTTTCTGTTTGATGAACTCTGGAGCCTAACTAAACATAAGGGAACCCATTATTATTCAGGGAAACTGAGGCAACTTGTATAAAAGTTACTTAAGTCAGGAGAAGTAATAAGATCTTCACACAGAGAAGCAAAAAAGAAGGAAATAAAAGCTATCTTTAATCCTTTACTAGGAGAGTCTTATACTTTGGAGTGGGTGTCCATGTGTCTGACTTAATCTTTTTTAAGTTCTTTGTAAGTTTTAGCCATTGGTGTGGTTTTTTGGTACTCTGCTTTCTTTTTTCCTCACTTAATATACTGTGAACACTCTTCTTTCTTCTTCTTCTTTTTTAAATTCTCACCCGAGGATATTTTTCCATTTATCTTTAGATAGAGTGGGAGGGAGGGAGGGAGAAAAAGAGAAAAACATCAATGTGAGAGAGACACATTAAGTGGTTGCCTCCTGCACGACCCTGACCAGGGCCAGGGGACCAAATCACAACCGAGGTACGTGCCCTTGACCAGAATTGAATCCTCGACTCTTTGGCCCTTGGGCCTACAATCTAACCGCTGAGCCAGACCAGCCAGGGCAACAATTTTCTAAGTTATTAGAAAACTGTTTTATTGTATGGATAGCTGTTATGTTATTAGCCCACTGTTATTAAATCATATTGTTATTTCCAGTCTTTCCACTATTAAAAAAATGATGTAATGAAATTTTGATAACTATTGCCTTATATTGAAGTCTTAGAAGAATTTTTGAATCTAAAAGTTTTTTTGATAGTAAATTTTCTAATATTTCCTCCAGGATATTGGACGGATTTAGATTTCTGTCAACAGTTATGAGAGCATCCCCCTCCATCTCTCTCTGATGTTTAATGGTAGAAACATCGTGTTGTGTTACAGCTTTGCTTTGACAACTGAGTTTGAAAATATTTATGTTTCTTTATTGGTAGGTATTTGTGCATATTCTTGGAACGATTTTACTAAGTTATTTTTCCCCCTATTATTTATTAAGGGCATTTAATATATTTAAGACATTGATCCTTTGTTGATCTTATTTGCAGTCTTCCTAACCCCCTCTCCCTCCATCTTTTGGTTTCCCTAAGGTTTGTTTATAGTTATTTCCTTTTATATGTGAGTTTTCATATTTAAATTAGTTAAATCATACTCCTTTATTGCTTCCACCTTTGACAGAAAGATCTACCTTGAGTTTTGTACATATTAGTGTGTACTTCTTATATTTCAGGCTTTTAGTTTCTAGTTTAATATTAAATCCATTATTTTGTTGTATGGTGTCAGGGTAGGTTCTAAGTTAAAACCGTTTTACTTTAAATTGGTTTGCCAGTGGTGTCACCACCACAATTATGTAAGCCTTCCTTTCCCCTCATAATTGAAATGCTACCTTTATGAGATAATAAATTATTATTTTTGACTTTCTGCTTTGTTCCATTGAATTGTCTATTCCTTTGCCAGTGCTGCATTACTTTAGTTATTATAGCTTCTTAATATGTTTTAATATTTGGTATTATAGTTCAAGGTCATCTGCATAACTTTTCTTTTTAAAATATTTCTTCTCTTTTTTCCTAGTTTTATTCTTCCAGATGAATTTTTAGGAGTCATTTCATCGAGCTCCAAAACAAATTCTAAGTGCAAATTTTAAGCAGTTTTATTTTTCTTTTTCTGCTTTTTGCTCTATACTCAGATTTCAGACATTGGTCTCTGCAACTCATTTTACTTTTAAAGTTGATTAATGAAATAATTTTACATTTAGAAAGTTTATTTGAAACAACACTGGATAGATACTGGCTAATGAGTGAGTTGGTTAACTAGTGTATGATTAGAGACTCTGAAGAACTTCTCAGTTTTCTTTAATATTTGTTTTTCTTGCTTAAATGTAGAATTGTGCTGTGTCCGCAGTATGTAAAAATCAGCCAAACTATCCCCTCAACTTTATATTATGAAGTTATTGTCTTATGTTTTGATGGTGAACATGATTGGAAACAAAAGACTAGTTTAATTTTTTATATGCCTGTGAAACTATATTCTGACTAATGGGATTACATGCAAGGGTGTCTGTGTAATATAAATCATAAAGAATAAATATATTTAATATAATTTTTATTTTATAAGTATATGAGCTAACTAATCTGAGTGATCAAGTAGATTTTATTTTGATCTTTTCTTTAAATCTTCACCTGAGAATATTTTTACGTTTATCTTCAGATAGAGTGGGATGGAGGGAGGGAGGGAGAGAGGGAAAGAGAAACATTGATGTGAGAGAGACACATCGACTGGCTGTCTTCTGTACGACCCGACCAGGGCCAGGGACCAAACTGCAACCAAGGTACATGCTTGACCGGAATCGAACTCATGACTCATTGGTCTGTGGGCTGATGCTCTAACTGCTGAGTCAAACTGGCCAGGGCTGTTTTCTCTTCTTTGCAGCTGCTCATTTTTTTTTTCTGTCATTGTGCCATACTCTGGCATCATTTCACTTCTCCCTTTTTTTTTTTTTATCCCCACCTGAGGACATTTTTCTATTTTTTATTCAGATAGAGTGGGAGGGAGAGAGAGAGAGAGAAACATCGACGTGAAAGGGACACATCGAATGGCCGCCACCTGCACGACCCAAACAGGGCCAGGGACAAACTGCAACCAAGGTACGTGCCCTTAGTGGGAACCGAACCCGGGTCTCTCTGGACTGCAGGCCAACGCTCTAACCGCTGAGCCAACTGGCCAGGGCTCACCTCTCCCTTTTTGAATGCTGCTTCCAGTCAACTGTAGAGTTGTAATCTGAAATATTAGATTTTTATCAAAATAAGAGTTCATAAGCAAGGAAAGCCTGACACACTTTCCCAGGTCCTAGCAAAATCACTAGATCTTTGGTGCGTAAACTTAATATCAGTTTTGAGAATTAGGTTTAATTTTTAGTTCTGGGTTTTGCCTGTATTTTTAATAGCTGAAATTGTCATGTGGCAGGTCAAAGTTTATTTGTAAGACCTTTGTTTGGGACCAAATCTATTTTCTTAATGAAAAAGTTTTAGGAATTTTAGTTCAGTTTCTGGATTCAGTACAAACACACAACTTTTTATTTCTCGTAAAAAAACTTGAAGTAATATCTATATATATATTTTTTTATCCTCACTTGAGGATATTTTTGCATGTATCTTCAGATAGAGCAAGAGGGAGAAAGGGAGGAAGAGAGAGAGAAACATTAATGTGAGAGAGACACATTGAGTGGTTGCCACCCACACGACCCCACCTGGGGCAGGGACAAACTGCATCTGAGGTACGTGCCCTTAGTGGGAACCGAACCTGGGACTCTCCCATCCATGGGCTGATGCCCTAACCGCTGAGCAATACCGGCCAGGGCTGAAGTAATATTTTTACTACCATTTAGAAGAAGTAGGCAGGGCCACCTGCTGGAGTTGGTAAGGATGAGAGGTAGGTAAACTTGAAGACAGTGGTCAGCGTTTTGTGATGGCAACAGTGGAGTTAGGGAGACAAAGCTAATTAGAAATATGCTTAGTGTTGTCTAAGTTATCAAGGACTCAGCTGAGCTTAGCGTTTATAAGGGTTCTAACAGCAGGAGATTGTATAATTTTCTTAGCAGTGCTCAACTCTGCTGAGTGTAGGACTGGAACAGAAAGATGATTGGATTGATTTAGGGATTTGAAGGGCAGGTGTAGCACAAGAATGTTGAAATTTTCTTATTGAGTTTAGCTAGGCTGGTGGGAGGAGTGGAATAGAAAGTGTGAAGTAGATAATCAGTTTGTAGAGAAATGGGAGAAGGACAAAGTTTGGAGATTTCAGTGAAGTATAAAATTCAGTAGAGTGGGAGTAATTAGGAGAGCTGGAGGAATAGAAAATGTAACAGAAAATAGAAGCATCATCTTGGACATCTCATCCTCCTGGAAGACTTCCCTGGCCTATCCTGTCTTGTTTATTCCCTCTTGGTGTCCTGTGGCACCTTGCACTGTGTTCTTTTTTTTTTTTTTAATCCTTACTCGAGAACATTTTCATTGATTTTTGTTTATTTTTTAGAGGGAGGGGAAGGGAGAGAGAAATAGAGAAAAACATTGACGTGAGAAACATCCATCAGTTGTCTCACACACGTGTCCTGACTAGAGCTGGGGATCGAACCTGCAACTTAGGTATGTGCCCTGACCCGATATCCAACCTAAGACGTTTCGGTGTACGGGACCACAATCCTATCACCTGAGCCAAACTGGCCAGGACCCTTGTACTATATTCTTATAAAAGTTACTATTTTACTGTATTACAGGGTTCTATTTACTTGTCTATCCCCATTCTCCAATGTAAACTTCATGAGTACAGAGATTTTTAATTTTCCTATTTTATAATACCTGGTATCTATTAGGTGCCCAGTAGGTGTTGCATTTTTTATTTTTATTTATTTATTTATTTTTTAGCGAGAGAGGAAGGGAGAGAGAAATAGAAACATCGATGTGAAATAGAAGCATCTATCAGCTGCCTCCTGCATGTCCCCTACTGGGGATCCAGCTAGAAACCCTGCCTTGCACCCTAATCAGGAATTGAACCAGGACCTCTCAGTCCATGGGGTGACACACAGTGCACTGAGCCACACCAGCTGGGCTAGGTGTTGAATTTAATAGAATGAATAGGAAGTTATGTTTATACTGTGATAGTATAGTTTAGGAGTTGCTAAATTTGAGAAGAGGTCAGAAGTCTTCAGAATGGAAGAGGTAGGAAATAGGGGAGGGGTAATCTATCCTTATACTATTTATCCATATTAGAACTTCAAATTATCGCTTGCTTTGTTTTGGTCATCTGATTTGTTAAGGTTCTGAACATTTTTATATCTCACATCAGGTATTTATTTTGCTTCCTTTTTAATAACTTGAGAAATAAAGGTATACCATTTCTGTTATTCTGTTACTACACTAACTTTGGGTTCCTCTTCTTAGCTGCATGAAAAACATTTTTAGGTTTAACATTCTATTGCAGTGGTTCTCAACCTTCCTAATGCCGTGACCCTTTAATACAGTTCCTCATGTTGTGGCGGCCCCCAACCATACAATTATTTTTGTTGCTACTTTATAACTGTAATTTTGCTATTGTTATGTCTTAGGCGACCCCTGTGAAAGGGTCATTTGACCCCCAAAAGGGTCGCGACCCACAGGTTGAGAACCTCTGTATTGGAGTGTCTGTGCTTTACTTGAAAACTATTGCTTTTAGAAAATTATAATATATATGTAGTGTCTGCTCTGTAGAAGGAAGGGTGGTCTAGTGGAGGCATACAAACAAGAGTGAATCTCATTAGTTCTCTTTTGTATTGCTGTGAGGCCTTTATTATTTATAAAGTCAAATAACAGTATTCATCTCTTAGGTATCTAGTGTGGATTGAATGAGATTATGTAAATCATTTACATAGGAGATAGGTAGGTGTTTGGTGCAAATCTATCTAAATGTTCTAAATTTCTATACCTTTATTAAATTTAGTTTGACTTTATAGTATTATAAATAGAATTGAATCTCAACATAATTTTTGTAGGACCAATTATCTGCCTTCATTAAAAAACAAAGGATTCTGGGTAGTAGTAATTACTTTGAATGGAAAATCTGAGTCTTTAGAAATTTTTAGAGTAGTCTTTTATTTTACTCATGAAGAAAATGAAGAGCAGAGAGTTGAAGTGATTTGCCCTGAGATGTGTAGTAGGTTAGTTTTGAGTCCAGGACTATACATATACCTGATCTTCTGAATATCAGCTCACTTTATTTTCCAGGGCTCTCTTGCTATGAGTATTAATTTGACTATTTCTCCCTTAAATCTCATTTTTTAAACTTTGACACTGACTCAGTTTTTTTGTTTTACTTTTATATTTGAGATGCCACTACAATATTGGACCCACTTTAAAGTGATGAGTGAAATATATACTTGAAGTGCTAATGTTAATTTAGAGCATA